TAGAACATAGATAGTTGATCGGTTTTACGATAACTTATTGATGGTAAAAACTAAAAACTCACATAAAGCATTAATTGTGCCAATTGCGCGTTATAATTGTAAATAAATAGGTACTTTAATGACAAGTTATAGTAGCAGTGGCGTAGACAGGGGAGGTTTTGGGTGTTTACCCCCCCCCCCCCCCATTGCCTTTCCACGTCTAATATATGTATTATTTATATTATTGTATATTTCATTAATAAAGTTCTAGTACTTTCTATAAAAATATATGGCATAAAAGCAAAACATTTCTAAAAACTCAGCCAGAAACCACATTGATAATAATAATAATAATAATAGATTATCATTTTAACTATCACGGGTTTTCAAAAACATTGTGGATATGACCACGATTATAATATCTATGATTAAGACTGATTACAATGTGTAATCCACGGACTAAGATATACAGGATTGGACATGACAAGGTTGGAGGGTGTGGGGGGTTTACCACGAAATGTAGTACAACAGGGGGTGTTCGAGGGTATATTTTCTTTTTAGCATTACTAGCGCTGTCTTCGTGGATACTTATGGAACTAGAAATTTGTATGATGTGTTCTAGTTCCATAAGTATCCACTAAGACGGAGCTAGTATTTCAAAAGGGAAAATACTCCCCCGAACTCCGTCTGTTGTACTATATTTCATAACCACAATATTCATATCGTCCAGTCCTGTATATCTTAGTCCGTGGTATAACCACAATTTTTGATAAGACATCCTAACAAAATTATGTTCTAGGTTTGATAAGGATTCCTCATCAGGAACATATCAATTATTATGCTCTATAAAACAGCCAGAATTTATAATGGCAGCATTTGTATTAGGTGGCAAAAGTCTTTGGTATAAGCTTGCCACTAAGTAAACATCTCCAAACCAAAAATATAGATCTGATTGATTCTATTGAGAATGAGGATAATGTTAGATATATTATTGAAAATATAAGAAAAAATGCAGTTAGTGAATTTAAAATTATATTTGATGAAGTTAAAACTAAATGTGATTCATTAAATATTGAAATTGCTTTGCCTCGTAGAACAAATTTTCAAAAAAATCGATCAGATAACGCAATATTTTATTTCGGGAATTCAATTTTTACAGAATTATACCTACATAAAATCTATAGGTAGGTACCTATATTTTGTATAATATTTTTGTATACTATGTTTTTAACTGTATTATTAATTGACGTATCGATCATTATAAATATTTTTATAATTTTTTTAACAATATAATATAATATACGTATTTGTCATTAAATATTAATTATAGATACTAATTAACGTTCAAAATATATTTGTTCAACCATTTGCATGTGATTGTCAGTAATATTGTAGCTGGGGATTTTTTTCCTAGGGTCGGGGATTTTTTTACCGGGGTCGTTCGTCGGGGGATTTTTTTTCCGATTACCAGTTTTAATATTATACACATGAGAGTTATATAGAAAACACCGATCACTTCATTTGTATACCACGACTATCTGAATTATATAAATTGTGTTATTGAAAAAATATAGTTACAACTTTTACATTACTATATAACGATTAATTAAAAATATGTATTGTCTTTATGGCTTTATCTCCGGCTTTATCTATTATCGAGATGCGCCGAAGCACTGCAGCCTGCAGGTTAAGTGTGTTCATTTTTTCCCGGGCGAATTCGGGTGATACAGCTATAGTCCCATATAATTTATAGTTCACTAACGACTTAATACGAATTATAATTTATAAACATAACATATTATGTTAATATTTTATCATTAATAGGAAATAAATAATAATATTACATTTAATGTATAAAAAAAACCATAAATCGTAAAATCACCAACAAAAAAAAAAAAAAATTGCAAAATTTGAAAAATAAAAGTTTGCTTTTTGAATAAGAAAAAATATTGTATACCATTATTTGTGTGCAGGTTAAATAGGAATTATGTAAAATGTAGTGTTTATAGAAGGTATTATAGTCAACAATACAGCTGCAGACTGCAATTATAACGAACACATGTTCTATATTATTGTATATTCGAGATATCTATTATAGGTATAGGTACTGGACTTGATATAAAACACCGTAGTCAAACATTGTAGAAATAGTTTACAGACAAAACATTTTTAGTTTTAAGTGTCTAGGACAAGTTTTAAGATGAAAGCGTCATTATTCGTATTATGTACTATCTTAACAGTTTTACAGGTAATAATTGCATTTTAATAATATTTAATAACATTATTTTAACCTACCTAATATAATATTTTACACAAAAATTAATAAATTATTCATAGAATAAAATCACCCAAAATATATTTTGTAAAGCAGTTGTATACAATTATATATAGATAATACTTTTCTGAATGCATTGTTCCCTCTGCATGGAAATGCATCCACGTTATACCAATTACTGTTTTTCCAATCTTAGGTAAAATATTAAATTTGTTTGTTCTTAAACGTACTGAAAGGTCACTTTTTTCAACTTTGTTCTCTATTGAAGTAATTTTAACGTTAGTTTTATATGTTTTATATACTTATTTTGTAATATGTTGTTTATGTTATTTAACTTATAACTTATCATAACATCTGTTAATTGTTGTATTGCTAATATTATTCTCAGAAGCCTTATAATGTTTATTCTAATAAATACAAAATAAAATAAAATAATGGATAAAATGTTAATTAAAAAAACACATAATATAATATGTAAACCAATAAATTTACTTTTGTTCAGAATTTAAAATGTCATACCCTTGAACAGTATTTGGTTAATTTATATTGTACTTCGAAATATAGTCTTACTCTTTCTTTTTTCTTTTCCATAAACACCAATTTATAAATTTTATAAAATCGTGTGTGTATGTATTGATATTAAAAATGTATGTAAATGAGAAAAATATTTAACTAACTTCGTACACTTATTTTCTGTTATTGGATCTAATTTGTAATTAAATACCTATTATATCAATAAAAATCACACTATTTCATTTTAACATTTTATATTTTTAGGCAGAAAAATATTACAGACGAAAGAATTCAAATTTTCAAACTGAAAAATTAGACGATTACAATCATGAAAGAATGATATCAACTGACATTAATTTGGAGCCAGAGCACATAGAAGATCACGAAGGAACTCATTTAAAACCAAAAATAAAAGTTGTATATTGTCCATGTCATAAAAATATCCCCGAAAAAAACCCAAGTATAACAATAAAATTGAAAGGAGCTAATATAAATAGTAGAACAATTAATACACCTAGAACCGCTAAAAAATTCTTTGGAGCTGAACGATTAAGTGAAGTGACTAAGTGAGTAACAATGACAGCGAAGAAGATAAAGAAATAGAAAAGTATAATACAAGATTGGCTAAAAGAGTTCATCCCCTACATCAAAAATCTTCCATCTACGGTGGTTACAAAAGTAAAGGGGATAATGTAAATGGATCGAGTCAATTGAACGGAGCTGTTGTAAAGCGAGATGTTGAAAGAGAAGTTTATAATACAAAACCAGCTGGTGGTTGTACCAGTGGCGTAATTTGGTCATGGTTGTGGGGGGGGGATGAAATGTATGTACATTTCACCAATTACCCCCCCCCCCCTCAACATTTTTTTTTTTTAATCGTATAAGGCATAAGCTATAAGCAATAAGCACCCCTCAATACAAGAATACAACTATTATGATCTGTATGTAATAACTAGTAGCCGGAATTATATTCTTTTGCATATTTTTTTTTGAGTCTATGCAGTCAGACGGGGGTTCGAAATCTTTACAAATCATGAAACAGGTGAGTTAATGGCAAAAGTTTATTTTGCATATTTGGGAATATTTCAAGATAAAAGAATATTTTGTATAATAAAAAATATTAGAGAATATATCGATTAATTTTTGTAGATGTTCGATATTTTTTGTTGCAGTGGCCTAAATAATATAAATAGCACATAATTCCGGCCCCTAGTAATAACTAATATTGTATATACAGTGTGATCACGATTTTAGGTACCACTGAATATCTCAGATGGCTGACTTTGTATTGAAATGGGGTTTTCGGGAGGTGATAGCCGATAGGAAGCACTTAAATACATATTTTCAGACCAGTTTAAAATTTTTAGCTCACTCGGTATGCGCATGCGCAATTTGACTTACTTTTTGTTAAATGGCAACCCCACTTTTTTTCTACAGATTCGGGTAGAGTATTTTTTTTTAAACAATTTTTGTATTGAAAGTTTTTCTATTTATAAAACTGACCAAGTTAGAGAAAGTCAAATTTTGGATTTATTCATAATACGTGTTTAATGCAATTTGCATTTATAACCAGTTGAAATAATAAAATAAGTGCCAAATAAATGTTTGATTAGGGGGGGGGGGGTGGCTGAGTGGACTAAGGCGTCGGTTGTGGCCGATTTCCGTCCGCCATTAAACATTTATTTGGCTCTTATTTTATTATTTCAACTGGTTATAAATGAAAATATCATTAAACACGAATTATGCATAAATGTTCAATAAATGTTCAAAAATAAATACTCTACCTGAATCTGCAGAAAAAACTGGGGTTGCCATTTAAAAAAAAGTAATATTGCGCATGCGGCATGCGCGTACCGAGTGAGCTAAAAATTTGAAACTGGTCTGAAAATATGTATTTAAGTGCTCCCTATAACCTCCCGAAAACCCCATTTCAATACAAAGTCATCCATCTGTGATATTCAGTGGTACCTAAAATCGTGATCACACTGTATATGATAATATTGATGGATGATTATATATTTGTATAATATTATGGAGATTCAGGTGATTTTTGTATTATCTATGAAATATATATTAATAAAATTAGTAGGTACATAAATGTGTTTGACGATTAAAAAAAAAAAAAAAAATGGTCAAGGGGGGGATACGACACCCAAATCCCCCCCCGTAATTACGCCACTGGGTTGTACATGTGGTGGTCGTACATGTGGTGGTTGTAAATTTGGTCGTCTTAATGCTAATAAAGAGGGTAAAAATTACGATAAAGGCGAAGGTGGTGATAGCGTGGACAGTGATGGCGGAGAAGGTGGAAGCTATCAAAAGGCTGTCAACTACGATAGTAACGTACCTAATTGAAGGAGATGGTGAAAATGAATCCGGTAACAATAGATTTGGTAGAAATATTAACAAACCAAACAAGTGTTACAATAAAGTGTCCACTAATAAAAATATATTGCATGGTAAGGATGCTGATGAAGATAAGAAAGGGTATATTATCAAGCCAGGGAAAACAAGGCCTGGTGGGTATATCAGGCCGAGAAGGCGGATCTGGTAAACGAAGCAGATGTAAAAAATGTAACAACACTTGATATTTGTAAAAATCTGAAGATTAAAATTGAAATTATCTACCATAAGGTGTTAAAATTAAAAATAATTTAATACCTATATATTATAAATGTATTTAATAAAAAACAAATATAGATATTGAATGTATAATAATATTATCGTTACTCTTTTATTTATACCAGTTTTCTATTTTTCAAAAGAAAACTTGAAAACTCAATCAATCTCCACATATAAACTTTCAAAGTTCTAAGGTTGTAAGGTGTAACACAATTTATGTAAAATATTGCTTTTCAACTATCCCGGATAATTTGAAAATTGGCGCGTACGCCTTTTACCTTCCAACCGTTGCTGTATGATAAGCATAACGAAAAGATTAAAATATTATAAAAAAAATATAGGTATCAACACAATTTATCCACAGTTGTGACTTGTGGTGTAGCTGAATTGCCTACTCAGCTAGGACACCGTGTGATGCTCATAATTAATAATTGTTTGAATTATATTGAAATACTTGAAAAAAACATCAATTTTACACAAATACCAAAAAAATATTGGAAAAGAAGCAACAGTTGAGTTGTAATAATAATCAAATGAACAGACCTAAGTTTGTTTTCATGTAACAAGCTTTTAATTTAATATAAGATATATCATTTTATTTCTCGTGAGTAGGTACTGCGAATAATTATTTCTCATATTATTATATTAAAGTTTCATTTGTTTTCAAAGCAATAGTAATATAATGTAAATTTGATATCTTGACTTTATTTCGTAATGTTTTTGTTTGATAGCACATGCCACACGGCATACACACGTCAAAACTAATACAATTTGAATAATCTTATAATGTCTTACAAAGTGCAGTGGGCACAACTAGGCTTTGAGGCTTATAATCTATAGCTCTAAAAACCAGACACGTTGCATATTATGCACCAAATATGCACTAATAAATACCAATAATTAAGTTTGCATTAAAACAAAAAATAGATTCAACAAAATTATTGAAATTTGTATTTCAAGCGTAAAAATAACAAAACAAAACCAAACATAAGTCAATACTGAATATTATATTATTATAACGATTGTCATAAGTCATAAAATTATATTATAACGATTGTCATCAGTCGAGGTGTCGAGAAGCGCAAATCGTATTAACGTGTAACAATATAGGTATTTTAGTTTTTAAATTGCATCGTTATGGATAAATGTTTTTATTTTATTTGTTTGCAGAATAGTACTTATGAGTTATGTTACAGAAAAAACACTAAAAAGCTAGATAATGTGTAAATATTATGCACAGTAATATTTATCAAAAAAGTTAAAATATTCAAAAATAGGTATAGGTACTAAATACAATTATGGAAATTTTAGATTCCTATTATGTCCCTTAATACAATTTTTATTAGACCCTACTAATTTTTTATTTAAGTATCCAAAATGTATTTGCAAATGGAAAATATACTCAAACGTCTCAAACCAACAGTTACCACTTACAATAATTCCAATCATTATGTTTTTTAGTAAAACATATTTTCTAATCCAAATTTAGTTGTCAAGCGCCAATCATCAGTGGCATGATTTTCTTGTAATACTTGCATATAGGTACTTACTACTTAAGTACCTATTTGGTATGCTATTTAAAAATCATTTTTATTCTAGTTTAAATTATGATAAGTGTATTATAATATTATACCTATGAAAATTATTAAAAATGTTTATCTGGTTTGAAATATATTTTTTAAATTCATAACCATTGTCCATTAATATTAATTACACCTACATTTGCAGCGGTAAGTATAATACAGTACCTAGTTGTGACGTTGTGTAATTACGATGGTGGAATTTGAATGTAATATAACCCTCTTTCCCACCTAACTTTTTTATTTTTACAGATTAGCACAGTTATGTAACTACTTACTTATTTAACACCACTATGTGATTTCATAGAAATAATACAAAAAAACCCAAATCCCACATGCTATCTGTGGCCTGTGGCTGATTATCGTTTGCGCATTGTCTGTTTACCTGCGCCAAATTATTGAACATCATATGCATATCATTATGCTGAACAATAGAAGAGTATACAAAAATCCAATGATGGTTATAAATCATATGTAATAAATAGATAGGTACAAATAATTAAAAATAAATTGTATTAGGTAATATTCGATTGAATTGTAGAACCTAATAATTATATAAATGCACATATAGAAATAATATTCTATGGATAATGAATAATTTAAGATTTTTAAGTTTAAAAATAATAAAGATATAGGCACAAGTTGTTCAATAAGCATTTAAAATTTGAACTTTGACAAAATTCATCAAAATCTCGACAATTTTAAACTTATTTTGAAATTAAAAATTTAACATTTTTGAGCATCAAAATTACATTTTTACTTCAAAAATAAATACAAATATACATAATTACTTATACATATAGTTTAAGTAAAAATAAATTAAAAATAAATTGTGTTCAGTTAGATCAGGGACATTATAGTCATAGTTGAAATACAAATATCCATGATAATATAGTTTGAGAAAAATTAATAAAGTAAAAAATAATATTATAAATCAATATCTTGTATATTATAATGTCCCATTATTTTTATAAAATTAAACAGCTTTATTTCACAGGTGGTATCTCCCTATACTTAAGTCAATGTTTTTGAATAAAGTCTAGTTTTTGACGTTCTGGAGCCAGTTGTAATTATAGATACCACTGTACATGACTAAAACATAATATTACTTCGTATTAATCACTATTTCACAATTATTAATATCATTACACTATTAATATTGTATAATATTTGAACAAAAATAAAGCTCTGAGCGGTCAATTAATATTATTTTACCGCAGGGTGACGACGCAGCAACGCTGTATAGAATGTAAAATATTTAATATACCTATCCAAATATATAATTATCAATGGTATGTGAACTTATAGATATTATGAATTATTTGTTTCCATTTGTGCATACATTTATAATAATAATGATGATAGTTTACACATATTCCTATTTATATTATGCACACCTATCACAATGATTGAAACTCATAAATTGAGAGGTGCTCTGCAATCTGCATGATACTAATATTTTTTGGGGGGCACCTAACAGGTAAAATTTATGAAAATTGATCCCCCCCCCCTTACAAACATGGCCAAATTACGCCACACTTTAAGTAGGTATGTGAAACAAATACTACACATTTTTCATTATATTTTACAATAGATTATTTGTTATTATTGTGTATAATATGTAAGCTATAGTGTGCAATTATGTAAACTACAACAAAAAAATTAAGCAGACTTCAATTACGATAAACACGTGTTCTGTTGTAAAATAACGATAACTTTATGTTTTAAACATGATATATAAAGGACACACAAAGAAGAAAATAGGTAGGTAAACTATTTATTTAGGAGACATAGGTAGTTTTTGGTTTTCCTGGTTAAAAATGAAAACTTTATTCCTACTATGCACGGCTGTAACAATTTTACAGGTTTGTTATTATTTAGATTTATTTTTTTAAGATTAATAATAATTATTAACTACATACAATTACATTTTTTTTTTTTTTACTATTATTATTATTTACTAATACCCAATTTAATGACACATTGTTTTTAATTATTTATTTATAATAAGGTTTATAATTAGGACATTTTTAATAGTTTAATATTTCACTATTACTTTTCTGTAAAATACTACAGTTTTAACCTATCTCATTATTTTTTTTTCTACACATATTTAAGAATACTGAACAAGTATAAGGTTGTATTTTTGGATTGTGAGTGGAGCGATGACTTTATTAGTGATACAATATGTTTGATTTTATTATTTTTACACTTTCAAGAGGTTTTCTGGGAGAAAATTAGATCTAGTTGTCATTAAGAAGGAGGCGCAATAGAAAAATATTCTTAGTACTTTTCAAAATAATTGAGAAGAACAAAAAAATAATTTGTGAAAGTGGGAATTTTTAATCAAAAACAGTTTTGGTTGATTAACAAATAATTTTGACGAGGTTGGACATTTTTAATTATTTTTTTATTTCGAATATCCTATACAATATTTTTGTAATATGAGGTAGGTACCTACAATAACTTTAAGCGATGCAAATCTTCAGCGTGAAATGTTTGGTTTTATGATTTTTTTAATTTTAATTTTGTTTCAAGTCTACTGTCACTTGAGAATTTAAATTTATTTCCAATGATATAATATAGTGTATAATTTAATTGAAGCAACTGACATATGTGTGGTGTGTCTGTACAGTGTCCATAACATGTACACAGTACACAGAACTATTGTAATATATACACTATAGTGTAATATAATATGCTTATTTTGAAAATAATAATTATGTATCTGTACTATAAATTAAAAAACATTTATAATATTATAATAATCATGCATAATAATATATTGCCATAAGTACTAAACTAAATAAATAAATATGTTTCAGGTTTTAGATGTATCCATCACGAGAGTTTCGGTAAATATAAATTATAAAAATAAAATTGCTGGGTAAGACTGAAGACATAAGACATAAGACATTATGTTATGACATTATGTTATGTTCACTTAATAAAGAGTTATAAAATGTAGGTACTAACTACTAGCTATTATAGTTTATTTGATTGTGCAATTTCATCCAATAAGCCATATTAGGTATTTATTATAGTCTATATAAGAAAGAAGAAAAAAATCGTGAGTGCAAACAATTTTAAGTTGAAGGATGGAAAATTCATAAATAAATATGTTTCACTTTGTAATTTTAGGAAGACTTCAATAATTAGTATACAAATTGAGCAAGGAGAAACATAAAGTTGGTCTTTTAAATGCCGATAATAATATGATTCAAGTGCATATTTTGTAGTTCATAATTCATATATCTTTATCCGGAACTTCATCCCAAATATCTGAAGGAAATGTAGGTACCTATACCTAGGTACTAAAACTAATAATCAACCTAGGTATGTCTCTAAAATGTAACCAGTGGAAATTTCTCTTAAATATCTATATTTTTGTTCATTAAGTAAAACCCATAAAATGTCTTAATTTGTAATTTATTTAATAAAATTAATTTTCGGTATACCTAACTAACGTGAATGCTTATTAAGGCAAGGAAACAAATAAGTAAATAACAATATTATGATGTTATTGTTGAGTTAATAGGTAGTTAATAACATACTTATTAACATGAAAACTCCGACGTTCTATCGTTATGCAAATAATACATGTTTTATCACACAGATATGTGGGTTTTGGGGCCGTTTATTTTTTTCTTAGGTAGGTACTTACCTGTCTTATTTTGGTGCTTAAGTCTTCCACCTCTCATTTTGAGATGGCCTCTGTTAGAAAGATATAATACTAGTATAATATAATGTACCATCAATGTGTAATAAATTGATTAATTATTATGTTATTGTAATTAAGTAAACGAACTAGAATTAATAGGTATAATATTATTACCGTTAATTTTTCTTTTTTAATTTAGGCCCAAAAACCGCCAAGAAGAACTCGTGATCCAAATGCAGGGAGATTAGGGACGCCTAGTCCTTTAATAATACCCGTTAAGACTCCAAGTGGCACTAAACCCGCAGACGATCCAGTCGCGGGTAACAATCCTGGAACAAATCCGAACGACGATGATTCGGCGGGAGCTGAGCCACCAAAGACCTTTAAAGAATCGGGTAAAAGAGTTGTACAAACTTTGAAGAAGATGGCCACCAATCGGGGAGTCGGTTTATTAAACGGTTTCACTGGGTTTCTGAAAAAAAGCGGTGGTGCATTCAGCTTTTTTGGAAATTTCTTACTAGACCGGGCAAAGGGTGTAAAGGACGTGGCTAAGGAAAGTTTAGGTATGGTATCGAGTTTCAGTGACAGCACAACAAGAGGAGCTAAACATTTGCTCAACAGTGGTAAAGTTATCGGTTTACAGGCTGGAACAGAAATGTATGAATCGTTGCAAAAAGCGACAAGGTTGGGTAAAAATTTAACGAAATTAGGAGGAACTGCTGTGGGCACACCGCTGTCTATTAGTGAAGACGTAGTGGGCACCGCCAATCGGCTTGCCAAAGTTCCAAGTAGAGTATCGAACATAATTAATAACGGCGTAATAAAGCCAGTTTTAAGTCGTTTCGGATCGAAAAGCAGCGAAGAACAACCCGAAGAAGAAGAAGAGGGAGAAGAAGAAAAAGAAGATCCACCCAAACCCTAGGTTAAAACACCACCGACCCCACAGAAACCAGTATCACCATAACAGTTCAGTTCAAGAGCTGATACATAATAATTGTATTGATATTTGTGAAAATAATATGGATATGATATATAAAAGTATACACCGTCTAATTGGACGGTGCGCAGGTTAAAAGGGAATAGGTAACTCAAAATCGCTAACTACTTTTTAGGAGACGAAAACAATTTCTCATTTTTGTACGATTATCGATTGCATTAGCTGTAAAGACTTACATTTTTAATTTAAAATAAGAAAATTCCAAAAACCAAATATTTTCATTATGAAATTTACGTAGAACATTTTATTCTACGAGATACAGTAACAATCAAAATTTACTTATTCCCTTTTACAAGCTCACTGTTCAATAATAATTGTGTAGTGTTAAAATAAATTCATAATATAATCATGTAATGACTTATAACTTATTTGAAACATAGGTAATACACTACCTATAATACTTTACTATTTTGTAACTCTTAGTCACGGCTATACATCTATAGCCCTGTTGTCTAGACTCTTGAGACTATTAAGTCTTAACAATTCTATATTTTGAAATGGGTCAACAAAATAAATAAAATATTCTATGTTTGTAATTATTGATTTGCATTATAAAATATCAAGTTATTAACATGTTTTTCTGTTGATGTGTGTTTGTATGATTTGTACAAGATCAATATATGAAAATCAAATAAGAAAAGATGACCAAGACATATAAATTATCAAAGATACAGTTATTTTTGAAAATTACTACATTTTTATTATACAATTTGGTGATTTTTTTTTTAATAAATTTGGTTTGAGTGAAAAATTAACATAATACAATAGATTAACTTTTAAGTTTTAACACAATTACTTATCGTGATCTTAATGATAGTCTTGCTTTGTCCATTATATCTTTTTTCAACTTAACTTGGTCTGGACTTGAAGGGTTTAAATCAAAACATATTTCAACAGATTTTGTGAATAGTTTTAATTTATACAAATTTACAGCTAGTTTGTATCCGATTTTAAAATACTTTTGACCACTTAATGCCCAAGCACGTTCATAATAATCCACAGCATCGTCTACATATGAGTAAAATGTTTTAGAAATTAAATGTGCTTATAATTACAAAATATAATAATATACCATATTTCTGTTCCTTTTCTGCCACAGCACTTAAAAGTTCTAGACCTTTGATTGAGGATTTATTATAGACAAGAACTTTATTAACCAATTCCACACATATATTGGTCTTGCCAGACTGAAAATATAATTCTGCCATAAGTAACCAACTGCGTTCCAAATACTCAGCCTCTTCAAATTTCCAGGTTGCTTTCAATGCAACTCTTTTTAAAATTGTCTTAGCTCTTTGTGCTTGTTTTTGATAAACAAAAGCCATTGCCAACCCTAACGAAGCAGCAATTCTGCAAATGCAAAAACATTTTGTGGAAACAGTTTCAGGGGATAAAATAATAAATAGCACAATGTATTACTTGCACGATTCTTGTGACAATTCATTAAAAACATTTATTGCTTTTTCTACAGATTGTTTTTCTTTGGACTCTAATAATACATAAGTTGACAGTAGCATATAATTTTTTTGTTCATCTGGTGTATTAGGTTTCATCTCCTGGAAATAAATATAACATATTAATATTGCATAACTGCTCATATTATATCATTGTTCATACTGTTATCAGCTTATTGGCTAGGTTTAAATTTAATGTCGCTTCATCTAAACAAATCTGAACCATGTTGTGCAGTGCTTGCTGTCCCCATTCAGCATCGTTTTTGGCCAAATTGAAATGCTTCATTGCATCATTGATGTTTGAAGCGTACCAGTAATACAAACCACAACAGAAATGAAACCCAGCTTGGCCAGTATTCTTGTGTGCGACTGCCATAGATGTTTTTACTTCTTCCAAACAATCAGTTCTACGACAAACTTCTATCAGCCGAGCTAATGCTGCCCAATTAGTGGGTTGCTTTTCCAAAAGTTTATAAAAATGCTTTTTAGCTGTTACAAAATCACATCGTCTAAACGACAAATCGGCTACGATCAACAGTGCTAAATCGTTGCTTGTATCTTTGAGCAGTGAAGAACATATCATTTCACATGAATTCCAATCATTCATCTGCAGATTAAAATTTAATCAAACATAATTTTTTTAGATTAATAAACACCACTTTAGTAATAACTATGATTTCTAAGACCTATTTCTAAAATATTATCATAAATAATGTACACAAGACAAATTTTTGGATTTTGTAAGTCTATTCAATTTGTTTGAAATGCACCTGTCTTGTAATATAATATTACTTTACATTTTATTATATAATTATCTTAGATAAAGCTAGATAATACATAAATGATAAATTTTTAATTTAAACTTACTTGCATGTACAACTTGGCTAAACTTATCTTCAATGAGCTCGCCTCATCACTGTCTACAACTACATGCACAAGTGCTTGTTTGTACAAAGAAACAGCGAGATCATTTCGATTTAACTTATGAGCAATCTCACCACTATGTCTCAATATTTTTAATCTGGTGCTCAACTCTTGGTTTTCTAAGTAAGAACACTGTTTTAACAAATCAAGTGCTTCATCTAATTTACCTTTTTTTTCCAAAGCCTGTAAATACACAATATTATATATAATTAAAAAATACTATTTGTACATTGTACAACATCAAAACTAGTAGGTATACAATAAAATCTCAATTAACATACTACTCGAAAAAATTATAGTTTTTTGAATACTGAAATTTAACTAAAAAAATGGATACCCAATGTTTGACTTTTTCAATTTGGACACCAACTACATTCCTCAATGTTTTTAATAAATATTACACAACAAAATATATATTATTAGGCAATTATAGTGTAATAAAAATATAAAAATAATTATTATGTATTATGGGTTTCGAGAAGTTTTATTTTATTTCATAATTCATGAATAAAGAACAATATTTATAAAATATTAAAATATAATTTTTCTTTATAGTTTGATGTAAAATCTAAAATCAATCTAAAATCAACCTAATGCATTGTCTACCACTAAGAGATTTCATTGTATTTTAAGAGGACGGCATACCCGCATGTGTTGTCTCCGTCTTTCACACGTACTACATACAAAGTGTAACAGAAAAAAAAAATTATACTATTTAAAAGTATAGCAAAAATTGTTAAAATTATATGATTAGTAAATAGTTTAAGAAATATACTCATGTTAGCAAATTCCCCAGAAAAATATTTTGTAATAAGTTATTATGTTCCAAATGAATTTTATCAAAAAAATATTGATATTTTAAAAAATTCTAAAAAATAAACTACTTGACTTTGATAAATGTTTTTTCCATCAAAATTATTCTTATAACCAGATTCACAAATTGGCTATTTTGAATTTATCCAAAAAAATTTAAATCAAAATTTAATTTTTTTACTTTCAGTATTAAAAAATAAAAATATTTTTTTTTAATATTATACATATAACGCAAGTGAATATTTATATAAATTGTATATAAAAAAAAAATTTCAAATATTGATAGAACCAAAGTTATTTCATCTGTCAGGTCTTCCTGTTACACCCTATATACAATTTTTATTCACCAGTTTCAATAGTTTGCTGTTTGTTTAGATATTTGAGTGAATTGACCTGTTATCAAACTTTTAGGTAAGAATATTATCTGTGTTCTCAATTAGGTATTCTATGATATTTTACCTCTTAAGTGTGTTTTAAGTATGTAAAATATTAATATTTGAAAATGCTCAATATTCACTTAAAAATTAAAATACCTAGTCGAAAATACAGATAATTTCTTACCTAAAAGTTTGATAATAGGTCAATTCACTCTCTTATTTTAAAACTAACAGCTTACTATTGAAACTGGTAAACAAAAATAATTGTCAATGTTGTACGTGTGTAAGATGGAGACAACCCAAGCAGGTACGACATCATCTTAATAATAATAGTTAAAAAACATACATTTGCCATGGGAATAACTTTAACTTCTAATGGGAGTGGATTTAAAACTTTAATTGCCATATCACACTGATTCAATTTGATCAAAAGATTTGCCATCTCCAATGCACCATCATTACCTATGAAAACCAAAACATAAATATTTTGAATGCATACTTAAATAAGTTAATTCAATTTAAAATATATTTGAGTTTAAAGTACCTGATTTATTGTAGTATTTGATGGCTTCATCATATTGATGTGCTGCAACTAATACTTGGGCAACTTTTAAGAACATTGATGGTTCATTCTTTAAACTCAATGCATTCTTGATTATTCTAATAGCCTCATCGGGCTCCTATTAGGTATATTAAGTTTTATTTTTATTTTTATTATTATAATTAAAGCAAACAAAACAATAGCATAAATATTAAAACGACACTACATCCGCATGCATTTTCTCCATTTTACAAACGCAATGTATATTCTAAATAAAATATCAAAATTAATTGTCTTATTATCAAATTTTCAATTAGAAGTAATTCTCATAGATTTTTTTTTTTAAATTATAATTTTAAAGCGAATTATGAGCATGAGACAACAAATGAGGGCAATCCTCAATCATTAATAAAATATAGTAAAAAATTAAAATTATCTTTATATTTACCTGGATTTTTAAATATGCATTTGCTAGTTCAATCATATTATCAACAGTGGGAAAAGAATCAACTAAATTTTTAAAGCATTCGGCATACTCAAATGGATCTTGATTTGTCTTCATAACAATATCGGCTTTCATTTTTTGGGCCTAATATTTAAATAACTTAATTAAAGAAAGGTTTACTTAAATAAAATGTACTATAAGTAAACGGACTAGGCCTTTTGGATATAAATACAAAGGCATACACAATTTGGTACATAATACATACTAATATATATAGATAAAAATTGTATATACTAATATTATACAGCTCCATTTATAACTACAATTAATCTAGTTTCATTAATATAATATACTTGAATATAAATTTAAAAACACACTTTGATAAAGACGTCTTGATCAGATTTTATGGAATTTAATATTTTTAAAGCACTTTTAGTATCATTTTTATAAATGGAAATTTTTGCTTCAGCTATTTTAATTTCTTCTTCATAATTTGTATCTTTTAAATATTCATATGCATTATTCACAATTTGTATTGCTTTATCGATTTTGTTTTCAATACAATAGCATTCACTTAGTGTAATAAACAAAGAAGCTAAATTGCTGTGTTCAAGTGCATGTCCATCTAAAATATAAAAAAGTTTACTGTTAATTTAATTTATCATCTTAGTTCTTAAGTCCAATGAAATATATTACTCGACAAGTTATTCAAAGAATTTTCTAAAGCTTGAATGCAATCATTATTCCTTTCAAAATGTTTATGAACAAGTCCATTTAATAGATTATATAAAGGCCACTCGCTAATCGATAAATTATAGCTAAGACCTAAGTCTAAGCTTTTAGAAGCATTTGCAAAATGACCCTTAGAAAAAAAATATGTTATTTTAACAATTAATTTTTGAATACAAACACACACACACACAATTATAATAGTAATAATAATAGCCAAAAATAAGAATTTACCTGCTTTATCAAAAGATTAGCAATCATAAGATGTGCTTCTGAATTTGTAGGATCTAGTTCTAATACTTTTTCTAGTGACTTATGAGCTTTTTTTATGTTTTGAATATTTCCAAGCATTAACCAACAATTGATAAGTCCAGGGCAAACATTTAAAATCTTTTCTAAGGTAATTTCTTTATAAATACGATCAGACAAGTGTTTCAAAAAAGTCATTATCATATTTGGATTAAGTTTTATCAAGTATTCTGGGCCAAATGACAAGTGAGTGATAGAATCAAATTGCTTCTCAACGGCTAATTTTATTAAATTTGATTTCACTTCATTATTTTCTGCAAAATATGCATTTATGAAAATAAGTTCACTTGACTTTAATTCTCCTCTAATTTCGTTTAACAATTCAATTTGTTTTTCAACCTAAAAGTAACATAAATTATTTTTTTTTAACTATGATAAACTGTTATAAACTATTATACAATAAAGAAAAGATTTACTTGAACATTTATGTCATTCATTTCAATCTGACACAAAATTATCCCTTCCATTGCTTTAGGAATAGGTTCCGCATTAGATAAACCACTATATAGTTGTATTGCTTCCTTATATTGTCCAGATAAATATATTTGATATGCAAGTTCTAGTTTATTATTGACACTTGGTTCCAAATCAATAGTAATTTGCATAGCACGAATACATTCGTTGATAATGGTTTTATGTTGACCACAAGTTCGAGATAAAGCTGAAGACCACTGGACAAATAAATTCGGGCTTGGTTCTGATTTTTCAAAAGTTTTGAAAAAGTCGTTAGGTATTTCTTCATATTTCCCAGCAACAGCTGTGTTATATAGAATTTTTGCCTACAAATAATTAAAAGTAGTTTTATAAACTATATAAGTATCATTACAAATAAAATAATAGGTATAAAGTTATAAATTGTTGCTAAAGTGTGTTAAAATATTTTAACTGACCATTATAGCCAATGGACAGCCTGAATTTATGCCTAATATACGATCAGCAGTTTCAATAACATCAGACCATTTTTGTACACTCATGTAAAGATTTAACTTCTCAATAAAGGATGGTAGAAAGTCAGGTAATTTAACAATGAGTTGATTTAACATCTGAATAGCTGCAGTAATTTCTAAAGTTGCAGCTTCACCAAGATATGCTCCAATTGAATCTTTGTTCTAAAATATTTAAATATTTATATTGATAAATAAATATTAAATATTACTTGCATTTAAAAAACAACTCACCTGTGATTGAACAGCTTTAAAGCAGTTTTTAGCGCTTTTAAGATTGTTGTTTTTAAGTTCCAACCAACCTTTAATTAAATATCCATCAACTGAACTTGGAAACTTGGCTAAAAGCTGGTCAACATAAGTTTTGGATTTTTCAAGACAATCACAGAGCATCATCACATTTGCAGCATGAAACAGTACAGCTTCGGAAGGACTGAATTCTATGACAGTAGGTTCTAACATGTTTATTGTGTTGGTATCAGGATCCTGTAGTATCAAAAAATATGTAATATAACTAATATAGTTAATAATTTAAATATAAAGTAATTGAAAAAATAAATACTTCAAATTGTTTATGGGCATGGATCATAACCAGCGTAGAAGCTAATCCAATATCAACACTATTGACTAAGGCATCAAGTATGGTCAGTCCTTTTGACAGTTTATTTTGAAGCACAAATGATAGACCATAATAAAGTTGATAAACTGAACTATTTAGATTTATTTGTATAGCTTTAGATGCAGATAGTTGTGCACTATAGTAATATTTTGTTCTAAGGTAATACTGTATGAGTTCAAAATCCATTTTAGTTTATTTTGGACACATTGGATACCTGTTTTAGTATACAAACTACCAAATAAACAATACTTGATCTATGAATATAGTACTTTAATTATAATGGAATATATTAATATTTTTAAAATGATAGTTTGTCAATCGTAGGTAACTTTTTAATGATATTCATTTTTCCATTTGGATATAGTTTCAGACTTTTTATCAAGAATGGACAGTATATAGCAGTTTGTATATTATGTTTGATCAAGTAGTCAATTACTTCCTAAACAGAAAAAAAAAAATAGAGAGCATTAGAAAAATAAGTTTTAGACAATTATTATTTGGCAGTAAGTACATCATAAATATATTTAATACCTACAAATATCATATTTAGTTTCAATCAAACTAATACCTAGTATCTAGTGTATAAAATGTTTTATTTACGAATACATAAAAATGATTGCATGTACTTTATTTTGTCTATAATATTTTTACTATAGGTACATCAAGTACAGTATCAGTATAACTTTGATGTTCCTTTTTTTAAACCACGTATTGTAGCAAAACCACTTTAAGGTTGAAAAATAAAATATTTGGAACATTGTTCCTTCTATCAAAGATCAAAACTTCTATCTATTATATCATTACTACATGGCCAGCATAGAACCCCCTCTTATCAGGAGACAAAACAGTGTGCTAAAAGAAAAGGACAAAATCGAAAAATACCAATACATGAAGACCGAATTGTAAATATGAGTAAAATAAAAATTAACGCTCATTGTAAAGTCATACGAATAAATAAATAAATTACTACATTGTAACTACATATTATTATACACAATTGCTTTTTAACTTTTCTCCTAAACATAACTCATTGCACTAAGTCAAATTCATTATACATTTATAATCTGTTAAGCTAGTGACATAGCCAGGAGAGGGCTAAAAGTACAGCCTACCCCCGAAATTACAGGAAAATTAAAAAATGTTTTCAGTGTCTTGTGAACGTATTACATAAGATATAACTAGGGCTCGGATTTAAATGCCCTAAAAATATCAAAACAATGCCCTTTCAAAAATGCATTTATGACCTAAAAACTCTAAAAAATGCCCTAAAATATCAACAAAAAAAATGACGTTCAAAAATGCATTATTTATTAAATAAATTCAAATTAATTATTATTAAAAAATGAGGAACAAATAAAATTCTAATAAAAATTATAAATTATAAATTAATAAATTAATTACAATGTACAAAAAAAATTAAAATTAAAAATTTAATTGTATTTGCATTGCATTGTACAATAAGAATTTCTTTAATGTTTTGGAATTTAAATGATCGACGGTTGTCTGCCAATAAGTTTTTATATATTGAAAATGACCTCTCTACATCAACTGAGGACTGAGGTGATAGGAGCAAACTTGAAAAATATCAGATCGTTAGGTGTTAAGTCTTCTGGAATAATATTTTCTGGATTAATATCTTCTTCTCCGTCTAATATTTGACATATTTTTTTTATTTGGTTAGTCTTTATTTTGCTTTAAAACGTTGTCAAATTTTAAATTTACGTTTATTCCAATTTGACTTAGTGATTTTCTTATAATATTTTTAATCGTAGCTATAATATTTATAGACTCTGTTAAAGATAATCCTGATGTTTCTAGCTTAGTTATCGCAACTGGAAGGTTACTAAAGTTTGATTTAATGTATATTAATTTATTCTTTACATTTATATCTCCACTAAGTAATTGTTGACATTTTGCAATTGAAATTGCATCTCTTTTATCAAATTGGTTTATAATGGCTTCAATAATCGGAAAGTGCTCACAATAATATAATGATGCAGTTAACTATGTACCCCATCGCGTCACTATAGGTTGAGGGGGCAAAGGAATACCAGGAGCCATAGTTTTAAATGTATCCACTCTGGATGGCGCTTTTAAGAAAATTTTCTTTGCATTTGAAATAAATTGATCCACTTCTGAAAATTGACCCCGTATTTCTTCCAATACTAGATATAAACCATGTGCTAAACAAGTAACATGGATCATTTTGGAATACAAGGAACTTTAAGATTGTCCAGCCTTGACCATATATGGAGCTGCGTCACTCAAAAAAAGTAATACCTTGTCATGTTTTACTCCTGTTGGCCACAAAATTAAAAGAGATCTATCAAATAATTTTGCGATTGTACTATGGTTCGCTTTTTCTAAAACATCGCTATTTAGTAAAAATACTTTTCCGGGCATATCTACTTCCAAAGTTCCAACTATAACGTTTGCTACGTAACGCCCTTCTACATCAGTCGTTTCATCTATAGAGATCCAAATATTTTTATTTTGCATATACTGTCTAATTTTTATAATTGTGTTTTCATACATTTGACAAACGTAATTTTCAAAATGAAAATAATTTTTATTACGTAGTACTATATTACTATGTAGTACTTATATTTCAATGAGGTCAATTTTTTTAGTCATAATATGACAAATAGGTCAAAAATGTCCTAAAAAATTAAAAAATGCATTAAAACCGTCAAAAAATGCCCCAAAAAATTATTATGGTTAGATTGCGAAGTACTTGAAACATATTTGTAGCTTGGAAAGCATCGCGTAAGATATCCCAAAAAAAAGATGCAAATGCATTGAAATCCGAGCCCTATATATAACTATGAATTAAAATTGTAATTTGTAAGGTTGACGCAAGTTTAAAATGTTGTATACCCATGGGCCATGAAATCAGTGTACCAAACTTATGACGGAACAAATTGTCATCCCCCTCCAGAAAAATGACACACCACCGTGTTAAGCCTATTAACAATTATAATATTCAGTTTGTCCTCTATAATCTATATCCTCATCTATATCAATGTAAAACAAATAATAAGTAACAACAATTTACGAAGGTTAAAATTATTATGAACCATTACCTAACCTGCCTATGCTTCTGTTTTCCAATAAATCAGTTATACCCATGGTAATATGATATAATACATAACATTTATAGTCTAAAGTTATTACTTTTAGTTTTAACAGAACAAAATAATAAATCAGACTCCACAACACATAGTATATACATACTTGAAAAATTAAAAATCCAAGTTGATGACCTCTATGTTCTACAGGTACTTCAGTATGATATAAAACAAATAAACCATCAATTATTTTGTATTGGATTTTTATAACAAAATTTCCTGTAAAATGGAAAATATACATAGGTATATAGGTATTGGAAAATGCAGACTTAACTATGAACAATAATACCATGTTTAAGACAAACATTAATCACCTTACCTTTGGCATGTACAATTTCGTGCTTGAAAGTCGTATTTTTTACATCGTGTAAAAGTTTAGTTTTCATAGCATATTGAGTACTTTTGAAAACAAAGCGATTCATAATAATAAGTGCATGTATTCAACTCTAAGTGCAAAATTCAAATAAATTTGCGAAATGTTGATGTGTGCGGGTGGACCATCAATCTTTTATTAGGTAACAATTGATGATCGTCAAGTTAATTAACATACCTACGTGATAAAAAGTGTTACCCTGGTGGCCTGGTGTAATGCAATGCAATGCAACATCTACTTGTTTAATTTAGTTTTAATCATGGACCTATAAACTAGTCTATGGTTTTAATTATTGAATCAAACCCGTAAGAATATAAAACATTTTAAAAGTAATATAGTTAATAATTATCCATAACTGAAGTATAGTATACTTTTATCAGTGATAAAAAAATCACAGTACATAATATGTATTATATTATAGCAAATACTATAGATTAGAACACGATTAAAGATAGTATGGTTGCGTGACGACGTATGATAATGTATAGGCTGAAGCGGCCACGATAGTGCTTACAGTTAATCTGACTGCTTGGTGGCGCTGTCTACTGATCAATAAATTCACAAGAATTAATATATGTGGTTTTGACTGCAATCATAGATAGCATGGCGGTAGACCACAGTGTAATTGTGTGTAAATATATTATTATATTTATTAATTTAGGTATCGTACGATCGGGATTCAGGAATTTGTTTTTTTTATCGTCTGTGATTTACTACAGTATTTTACACACTGACATAACATCTCGTTCTAATATACTATATAAAAAATTGTGAATTATTCTTTTAATTAAAAGTTACAACTAGCCCAAAAATGTCTTGTTGCATTCGCTCACCACATTCTGTTGCAAACACCACTTTTGAAGTACCGAAGAATGAGTTGGAAAAATATAAATGGGAGGAGGCTTTAGGCAATAGGCATGAAATTAAAAAAAAGCCATCGCGTATGTGCTTCTCATTTTAATGAATGCGACATAATAAGCTGTTGGAATTCTGGTTTGAATCATTATTCGGTATGTAGGTACGTACTTAAAAAGATACAGAGAACATTAAAAACAATGTAAAGCAAATCTGCAAAATTAATATACCTATTTTATACCTGAAAACATAGGCATGCGCACAGGGTATGCAGGGTATGCCGCTGCATAGTCTGCGGCTTTATGTGAGGGGCCCATATATAATATAGGTACCAAAGCATTTTTGATATCTTCTATAATATAAAAAAAAATAATAAAAATTTAGGTTTCACTTTTCTCGAGACTCGCAAGATAATCTAAACTATTAATATACTAAAGCGTAACACGTAGATATAGTTATCTATGTTGCAAGAATAGAATAGGTACCTAATTATTATTGTTTTTATAGTTTGTAATCAAAGACAATATTATTATTATAACTGAGTCCGGTACTATGTCACAAGAACGTCTTGATTCACCGATGTTAATTTTTATCAAGAAAAAAATGGCATCAGAAATCAATATTGAAGAAGTAATAGATGAATTCAAAACATGTGTGCCGATAAAAAGAAGACTTGAACTTTAGAGTTTAGATTTTAAGTAGGTACCTTCCATGAAATAACAACATTATTAATGTGTTAAAGTTATTCAAAAACATTCATACTAGTATATATTTGATCAAATTTTCTTTAAATAAATATAATTCAAATTTCAAACTACTTATTTCTACAGCGCGTTGTTTAATATTCTACTGTAAAACTATGTGTGATTTCAGATTCCGAGGGAAGCAAAAAAGCTAAGTAGTATATTTGCAAAAACTTAGATTGTAAATTGAATCCTATACGTGTTAAAAAAAATGTTTAACGGCTTAGAATTGTTTTTTAGAATAAATAAAAGGAAAGATTAGAATTTGTGAGGGGGCCCTATTTTCCTTATTGCATAACCTGCGAATAAAGTCTGCGCACGCCTATGCGGCTATGCCTGAAAAAACAATGAATGTTTGTCAAAATAAAATGTTTACAGGTATGTTATCAAAGGAAGCGGTTAAAGAAAGGTGCGATATGTAACTGTAAAATGTGTTGACTTTTTAATTTATTTTTTCCAATGTTAATATCAAAAAAATTAAAAAAGCTAATATCGACGTATGACAGTATGAGACAATGAATTAGTAATTACATATCTAGTGGTTATATACTTATATGTAAAAACTCGTCTTTTCTACATTTAACTACTAGATAGCAGCACTAAGCAGTCAGTTTAGACTTAAGCACTTCTATCGCCGCATTTTTGGTCGTCGTCAAGCAACCATACTATCTTTAATCGTGGTAAGCACTATCGTGGCCGCTTCAGCCCATGAACTACTACACAGGACTGGACACTACAGAGAAAATCACGGACACAAAGTTGTACAGGGTTCGTACACATGCGATGTAACTGCACTCTGCCTGTTAGTAGTACGAACTACGTTTTTTATAGGATAACACTAAAGAATAGTGATATTAGTGATAATAACTGATAATAAATTTACTTTTTAATTTTTGAAAAACAATTATTAATAACACAGTTCAAGATAATAATGATACTATTTATAGAATATTATCATAAAATAATTACTGCTTAAAGAGTGAACAGTTTAAGCATGAACTACTAAGGCGGTATTTTATATAACAAAATATTTCTTATCTCACAGATGGCGCTGTGTCGCATGTGTACCGAATATGTACAACTTTGTGGACGACCCCCTACTCTCCTCCTGCCAATAGTGTCCAGTCCTGTGTAGTAGTTCATGCTTCAGCCTATACATTATCATACGTCGTCACGCAACCATACTATCTTTAATCGTGACTAATACAAATAATTTGGCGCCATAAATCAACAATATAAAATAGGTATTAGAATATAGATTACTATTATATTATAATGAGTACAATATTGAATGTACATTGGTACATATTTTGTTATATGCAAAATACTGAAACAATAATTATTAAATTTAAATAACATAATATAATATCAATGATATCAGTATTACGATAGTTGATTATTTTTCTATACCTTACAAAATTACTCTAATAAAGTAATAATTATTACACTATAAGGTATAATTTATTTAAATACAACAGAAACATTATATAGAATGAGTAATATGATATTATAGCTGATAGTGTTAACCTTTTTTACTCAAAATAATTTTATCCCTATATTTATATTGTTGCTATTAATTATGAAGATACTAGTAAGGACTTTTCTTTATTGAATTTATACAATATTATGTTTATTGATTTCTTATTTTCCAATTTTCCGTGTCAGTTGATGTTAGATTAAGAAAAAAAAATAACATTATTGTACCCAAGAAAGTAAATTTTAAGAATCTGTAGGTAGATAGATCTCATTATTTTAAGAGTGTCAATTCTTTTAAATACATATTCCTGTCTTTTCAATAACGTTATACTAAGCATACTACTAGCATACTAACAGAATATTTTATTTGACAATGTTTAGATTATCGCTTACGTGTCCATCATAATCCTCAATTATGTGACCAGGAAACTAAGAGATTAAGATTAAAAATTAGAACAATGCAAAAGTTAATAAACAAAAAGAATACTAGGATACAGTTATTAAAAAAAAAGAATCTTAACAAATTACAAATGAATAAAAATTTATTTCAAACTACAGTGAACAATAATTTTATTTTAAAAAACCAGTTAAAACTAGCTAATATAAACAAATATGGTCGTAGATATAAGGAAAATCAAAAATCATTTGCACTTGCATTATATTATAACTCCCCTAAGGCATATAATTTCATGCGCAAGTATTTATGTTTTCCAACAGTGAGATCACTTAGAAATTGGCTACAATCAATAGATGTTTCTTGTGGGGTAAACTCAAATGTTCTTGATGTTTTAAAAATAAAGTTTAAGGATGTTCCACCGAGTGAAAAGCTAATATTATCAATTATAATGGATGAGATGTCACTAAAAAAATTGATTTCTTATAACTCTCAAAATGATCAATTTAGTGGTTACGAAGACTTTGGTCCAGATCATGAGTTTGTTGATATGACAATGAATCGCATCTGTGACCAAGTATTAGTTGTTATGATTAAAGGTATAGTTAAACCTTGGAAACAAATACTTGAATATTTTTTTTCTAAAGGACCAGTATCTAAAAATACAATTTTAGTTATGACAATGATTTTTGTAGTTGGTCAGATTTAGAAGATTTTTATAATTTAGACAAAAATAAAAAGCCAAGGTTAGCTCCTCGATTAAATAAAATTCACATGGATCTACCACCATTCTCACCAATGCGTGTTTGTTTGGCAACCCAAACATTAAGCCATTCTGTTAGTTCTGATATGATGACTTTAATTTCACTGAATGAAATGAGAAGTTCAGCTATACATACAGCAAGATTTATAGAATTCTTTGATAATTTATTTGATGTTTTTAACAGTATAACACACAGTGAGGCAAAAACATTAAGAAAGCCATTAACTAAAACTTCTGATCATTGGAAATTTTTGAATGAAGCAGAACAGGTATTAGGAAAACTTAAAGTTCACAATAAAACTGGTAAATTACCACCGTGTATAGTAGGTTGGAAAGAAAATATTATTGCCTTGAAATTGTTATTTAACAAACTAGATGAAAAATACAAAATAGATTTCTTATTAACAAGAAGACTAACACAAGACAGTGTAGAAAATGTGTTCTCAGTAGTAAGGTTAGTAAGTAATTTTTAGTTAGTATAATCAATATTTTGTGATAATTATATAATTATTTTTCCACAACTATCGATATCATTAAAATGTTTAAAACTTAAGACCTGTATAACCGTGTAGAACTGTACCAAATTATTGTAAAAACAATAAGCTAACCATCAAGTATTACCTACTCTATGAAATAAACCTTGTTTTAGTAATCCTGTCTCCTGTGTCCATAATCCATACAGCCATACACTTGATACAGGTAATGATGTATTGCACGTTTTATTATAAACTATTTATATATTTTAATACTAACAACACTATAATATTAAGTTCCTAAAGGCTAATGGACTATTGAACTTAATTTAAAAATTAGAAAAAAGCTAAGTAGTTGTTCTTTTGTATTTGTTATAACTTATCAGTTATTCAGTTATCACTTATCAGTGTCTAAAAAATAAAAATAAAGGGGTTTATATAGGCAACCTACTATAATATGTAGCGCTACAGTGTCCCCTAGAAAATCTAAGAGCTTCCCGTATTCTAATCTATAGTATTTGATTATAGCAAAATATAATACACATATCATTCTAACCTTGATCATCAAAGTCGTTGTTATCACATCTTATCATCAATATTTATTATTATTTGTTTTTTTACATATAAAATATAAATATTACATGATTACACAATTTAAAATATTTAAGATTGTTCTGTGATAGTGGTAACATGGTAAATAGTAAATACTAAATAATAATAATGTTATTATGTTATATTATGTAGCAGTAGTGGAGTGGTCCTCTGCTCACTGCTGTAACTTTTTCATTTGACTGCTATTAAAAGTATAACACTATACTATAAAAAAATCTTACATTTAGAAACAGCGTATAGAGTACATCAACAAAAAGAGTAAGTGATTTATCGTTCAAAATATATTTTACATAATATTAAATATAATATTGGTTTTACTATAATTGTTTTGTCGGTTTATTTACTTTTAAGACTAGACACCTGTGGATATTGTTCACATCATGTTAGTTCTAGTCACAGCACTATTGTGCAGTTGTATTGGCCATATACATAGTGAAGATCAGTGTAATGGTTTGTACAGTGATTATTCTCATCATTTATCATCAAAAACTCCATATAGATATGTAGCCAACCATGATACAGAACCGGTCAACTTCGAAGGTGGGTATTATTTTTGTGCAATAATTTATATAATTAGATTAGGTAATTATATTTAAGATATATAAACATTGTATTGCAGTGTGTGTGATGCAATAAACATATTATATATTTAACGAAAATGTTATGTTTGTCCATTGTTTTGTTTAATTTAATTTTTACTACTTAAAGGTTGTAAGGCATGGAAAATTTGGCTTGTTCAAAGACATGGTACAAGGACACCTGGCAAAGAATTAGATCAGTTTGTCAAAAACAGATTACCAGAAATTCAAAAAGACATCATAAACAATTTGATTGAGTGTAGGTATATAATTATAATAATATATTTAGTACCGAGGTGAAATTAATTTGTAGCACCTATACCTATCTATTAAGAGGATATTGTACCCCCATGTATCGACTTCGTTTTACTATAATAACACATCTTTTTGGTAGAAAATTTTAAATTTAGAAGAATCGATTTTACTCTGTTATTTTTAATATTGGAATATCAAGGCCATCTCATAAGTTATTTTAGATTCTGAGCAGAGCAAGGAAGCTAGTGGTTTTACAAAGTTGTTTATTATTTTTTTTTTTTTATCCTGTAAACTAAATGTCTACAGGAGTGCTTCAATTTCAACATATAGTATCTTATCTTTTAGAAAATTGGATCAAGATGTTACTTTAGAGAGGTCATTTTTTGATTTTCTCATTGATATTATATCATTGAATTCAAATTTAACAACATCCATTACAGTGACCCACTTATAACCTACTGTACAGCAGAGTGACACCCACTTGCTCATCTTTTTTATATTTTGATTTCATAGCAAGTTACGAGTTACAATTTTAAAATGGTCATAACTTGCTTCAAAATTAAAATATCTAAAAAAAACATAAGATCCACCCTCAAGAATATTCTTATTTTTATATTGAACATTAGATTAATTCACTTTAATATTAAAAATAAGAAGTTAAAATAAATTTTTCTTAACATAAAATGTAATATGTTATGTGTTAGTAAGACAGAATTGTCATATGTGAGTACAAGGTCGTCTTAATATAGGTAGCTTACGGTCAATATTTTATACTTGCATTTTCATTAATTTATAAAAACATAGTCCTAACTTAAGTACTTATTTTTAATTAAAAAATAATTGATTTTGATGAAATAACCATTTTTATTTCTTTTTATATTGATCTTTATTCAGAATCTACAACTTGGCTATTAGTGCAACATGATTTAACACATATTTTATTTTTGTTGTATAAATTGTGTTTCTATAATATGTCATAAAAGTCAAAGTGTAATGTACTAAACATCCTAATATCTACATAATTTATGAATTAATCTTTATTCTTTGGTTACATAACATATTACATGTAACTATAAGTGTATATTCAAACTAAAAGATTAGATTATCGAATTATTCTATAATTTTTTACATAGCATAGCCTTAGTAGAAAATGTCTTAACTTAATAAATTATGATCTTGGAGTTTAGTGTAAATGCAAGTAATGTGTAGAATGTATATAGTACAATATTGAATTGCCATTTTATTCAGCCAAATTATGCAATGAAGATGAAATAAAATTATGGACGTCTCATGAAGAAATAGACGACCAAAAACGATTAACCAGAGAAGGAGAAGATGAACTTTTAGCGCTTGCTGAACGTATGCAACTTAGATTTCCTAATTTATTAAATCAACCATATGAAAGTACAAACTTTTTGGTAAAGTATTGCTATTATCCGACTATTATTTATTTAAGAACTTTTAATTAACTTTTTTTTTATAGTTTAGATTTACTGATACTCAAAGAACTAGAGTAAGTGCTAAACAATTTGCAACAGGATTGTTTGGACGAAATGATGTTAAGAAAGTATTATTTGAAGAACCGTTAGCTAAAGACCCATTATTAAGGGTAAGTAAATTATAAAATTATTTTCTACATCCTTTGAAACTTAAAAATATATAATATAATGTATTATTTAGTAGGTATTTTAATTGATATTAAATTCCCTAATATTCCGAGATACAATCAATAATTGAACAGGCTGAAGCCCCCCCCCCCCCTCATTGCTCGTATTATTAAAAAAAATAAATATTTGTCAAGTTTCAACTGTCAACTATAGTAAGCAAGACGTACTTTCATTTTTGAAAAAACGTTGTATCTGCATACCAATTTTCCTAAAATGATCTGTAATTTTCCAGTAAAAGTATGAACTACTTGTATGAAAGACTTTGTATTAAATTGTCTTGCCTTATAGCTATACACAATTAATATTTTATAAGTTTTGAACTACAAATTAACTGTGGTTTTGACAAAATTTGAACTTATTAGCTTATAAAAAATATCCATGATGCCTATGTTAATATTTTAGCCATAATAAAAACGTACGTATTACATTTTTAAGCTTTTTGACCGAATAAATAATTTTTATTGACATTTAAAGAAAAAAAAATGTTTAATTAATCAAATACAATCCATGTATAAGTAAGCTGGTCACCAAACAAATTTAATAAATTTTCATTTTTTTTTTTCCAATTATTTTAAAAAGAACACTGAGCATTTTCAAGTTCAACCTCTAAAAGTACAATTGGCTTCCAAAAACATACATCCGGCATCAAATTTTTTGATTTTTTCTACCAGAAAAGTTGTGATGTTACACACGTCATATTAAAATACCTGAAATATACGTCTGAAATTATTAGACTAGACAAAATAAAAATAAAATTGTAACTTATTTTCAAGCCCCCCCTCCCCCCCATTGAAAAATCCTGCGTACGTAACTGTGTGTAGTTATAACTAAAGGTATCCAGGTATCTAAGGTATACTTAAGTTTACCAACCAATTTCTTATTTAAATATGCCTAAAGTTATAACTACACATTTTGACTAGTTATTTTGATTTCCGTTATAGTTAATATTATTATTTAATACAATATGATATTATCTTTATGTTAGTAAAAAATTATTTTATAAAAATAATCTTTCTAAAAATATATCTATTTAATTATTTTTAGTTTTATAAAGTTTGCCAAAAATGGAGAAAAGATGTTAAAAAATCCTCTACGGCATCAGCTGAATACCAACAATTTGTTGAATCTCAACTTACTAATGTTACATTAAAAAGTTTATCTTCGAGACTTGGACTTGGTTACACGTTAACATTTAGTTAGTATATTATATACTCATTAGTTCCATTGTTTATGGAAATAAAATAAACATAATTATTTATTTAAGAGGATGCCAAGAATATATATACTTACTGTGCTTTTGAAACTGCTTGGGAGAAAAATAAAGTTTCACCATGGTGTTCAATTTTTAATAAATCCGATTTCATGGTAATTAATTTTAAATATATAAATATAATTCATTTTTGTTTCGATAGTATACACTAGGGGTGTCCAACCCATTGCCTACATTTGGCCCTCGGTAGATTATATGTGGCTCCCATGTAAATTACTAAATTGTATTATGAACAAATAAATTATTATAAGAATAAAGAACTAAAACATATTAAACCTTGAATTAATATGCAAATTTTAAATTTTAAATGAAGTTCATAAGGAGTTTAAAAAAAGATATTGCCGAAAAATATGGTATTCCGACATGTTCGCTTTCAACCATATTTAAAAATCGCAAAAACATAGTTTTTAATATTTGTCAATAATTCATTTTTAAAAAATGAAAATACCAAGAGTAAGAATTTGTTAAACATTTCAGACAAATACCTTGAAAGTTGCTTAAGAATTGCCACAAGTCACAACTTCAACCGATCCGGATATTGATTCATTACTTTTACAGAAAAGCAATTTTAAATTTCACATCAGAATCAGGTCTATTGTTATTTAAAAATATTTTTCTTCTTTTAATCGTGAATAAAATAAATGTATTTTTTCCCCTTTTAATTATAAATAAAATGTAATATTGTAAAAATATATGTTACCAATTGCCAATGAGAACTGGCTCAATATGGCCTAGCCTTCGCAAAAGGTTGGACACTCCTAATACTCCTATATAGTATAGGTACTGATTGATTATTTTAACAGTAAATGGTAATCAAGTAATGAAAATTATTAGCTTTTTAGAACATCTAAAATACACCTAACTTTTAACTATACAACTATAACCAGTAAGTTAATACTTTTCAAAAAATTTCATATTTTCTGTTAAAAGATTATCCATGTAATGATAGTTGTAATTTTTAGCTTTTCGAGTATAGTGAAGATTTGAAGCATTATTTGATAGATGGTTATGCGTATGAGTTATCATACAAACAAGCTTGTGTCTTATTAAAAAATGCAATTGAATATTTTGAGTAAGCAATTTTTACAGCTAATAATAATTAAAATATTTGTATTCCAATTAATTTAATTTGTATTTATAGTGATCAAGATTTAAATAGCAAAAATGGTATTTTCTATTTTACCCATTCAGGAACAATTTTGAAAATGCTCGGTTTGTTAGGTCTTTATAAAGACGAACATAAGCTAAAACATGACAACTATTTGAAAATGGAGAATCGGCTGTGGAGAACTTCAAAAATTGATCCTTTTGGTTCAAACATTGCATTTGTTTTATACAAGTACTGGATTTATGATCGGTGAACAGATTATGTTTAATATACCATTGTATTTTTGTTATTTGTAGGTGTAATAATAATGAAACTAAGATACTAACATTACACCAAGAAAGAATTGTCCATATTAATGGTTGCAAAGATGGCCTTTGCTCATATGAAAAATTTAAACAACTGTTTGCTACAGAACTTCAAAACTGTAATTTTGATGAAATGTGTAATATTGACTAAATAGTTTAATATTTAAGCTTACTTAAAATTATTTTATGTATGTACCAATTATTTTTTTAGTTGCTATAGGTTATTTTTATATTATTAACTATATCACAACAAAATAATATTACCAATTATTTTGTTGGGATACAAAGATTTGAAGAAAAATGTTTACAATTTTATTTTTTGTATTTATTGTCCGAATTATTATTGTATCCTATTTTAATTACAATTTAAATGTACTGAAAATATATCATAATTATTTTAAATTACAATACAAATTATTTCTCAGTAATGGCATACCTACCTTAACCCTGGATCACATGCATTTAAAATATTCACGAGAATACACGCATCCGGTCTTTTTAGTCACACAGTATGGCCCAAATCATAGTTAACTAACCTGTCACAATGAAAATATAATAACTATCAATTTCGAGCAGCAATTATTCTAAACACAGTTTAAAAATAATCCATAATTGATTTTTTACGCTCACGCACGCTGTCTTTTTGACCGTATATTAATACGTAATGTCTGGTAATGAACTTTGAACACTTTTAAATTACTGACATCAGATCGTATTCAGTTGGGAGTTGTATTTAATTTTAGTTTATCACCTAATTTTAAGGTACCTAGCAGGGGCGCATTAAGGGTTCACATATGGGGGGCAAAATTATTTTGCGCCCCTGGTGTATTTTATGAATATTAATGAAAGTATAAAAAACTTAAAAAAAATTTCCTCGCTGCGCTCGAAAAATTAAGTTAGTACCTTACATTTCATACAGTTATTATACCTACATAGATATCTTATTAAATTAATTACTAAATATCTATTTGGAACTTGGATTTATAATCCTTTCTTTTAAAATAGTACTGGTAATTGGAATATTTATTGTGTAAAATGTTTATTATTCATTAACTAATAAATACCTCCTAGTAAGCAACTCCTATATTTTTAGTTATTTATGGGGTACCTATGTATTAAGCATTGTCTTATAATAATAAATATATCTTTATTCTTTATTAACAATAAAATATTATTACATATTATAAAACTATTTAAATGACAAATATGGAACAATACTAATTAAAATATTTTCTTATTTTTTTGTTCACAAACTCTTTTATAATACTTGACCAATCAATATTTCTAATCATCTCATTTTCTATTGACAGCCATAGGCGCACATTGGGTGTGAATTCAGGGGGTGCTGGGATAGTTTATGGTTCACACCTCCTAATCCTAATATTTCTGCATTGCATTAGATTTAATTTGTATAGTGTATACCAGGGGTGGCCAACATGACTATGTACGTGAGCCACATGTATTAATAAAATTTTGTCAAGAGCCAAATTATCTAATGTGTACTTCTATACCACAAAAGTAATAAAGATATATTGGAATTTTGGAAGCATATTTCTATATTAAAATACCCAAGTATTAAAAACTGTGCGGTAAAATTTATATACATTTTTGGAACGACGTATTCATGTGAATCAACAATGAAAACAATGAAAATGAAAATAATTAAGTCAAAATATCGTTCAAATTTGACTGATGATCATCTTACAGAATTACTAAGAATTGCTCTTACATCAATTCAACCAGATCTTAAGAAGCTTACTAAAAAAGTAGACACGAAAAAAGTACCACGCAAACAAAATTAGCTTAATGTTTAATTTTTTAATTTATTATTCATATTAATTATTTTTTTTTTTGTTTGATTTAATCTATATTCTATACACTAATACTATAGCCTTAAATAAATACAATAAAAACATTTTTTTATAAATGTATATAAAAAAAAATTAAAATATTTTGGTTTTTGTAAATAAGACCGCGAGCCGCATACGACTGTGACGAGAGCCGCATGCGGCTCGCGAGCCGTGATTTGGCCACCCCTGGTGTATACAATAATTTCTAAAGTGCAATGTATCAAATAGTCTGTATGATTGTAAAGAAGACGCTAGGTACGCTAGGTACACCCACATGTGTTGTCTCCGTATTACAGACGTAGGTACAACATAGGCAAAACTGTTTTGCACGGGTATAAAAAAAATTCAGGCTCTACTCTAAGCTAAGAAACTAAATGTTCACACTATAAAAATGAGAAAATTTACTCTGTAACTTTGTTTTTATATTTCCGATATCAAAACCAAAATAAAAGTTATTTAAGTTTGATAAACAAAAAAAGGTGCTCTGCTGTACCGTAGGGTACAAGTGGGTCCCTGTATAATCGATGGTATTAAATTTGAATTCAATGATATACTAACATCATTGTATAAGAAAAACGATTCTGAGCGAAGACGGTTGGTCAGCCTATGATATTACTAAGTATATTTGATGATACTAAGGTGAATAAAGCAATTTATATATAACCTATTTACGTAGAATCTTATTTTAAATTTTCAATCATTAGCTATAAAAGTTGAACATTTTATAAATTTTTAACTATAAAATTATTATTAAATTTTAAATGTGATAAATTTTGTCAAAATTTGAATTTTAAATAATTATTAAAAAAAATTGTGCCTATGTATTTTTAATATTTTTCAAGTGTTAATGTAACAATATATCAGGAGCTTTGCATTAAATTTTCAAGCTTTTTTACCATACAAATAAAATTTTATTGATATGAATAGAAAAAAAAATTAAAATATTGAAAACTGAAAATGTCCGTAAATAGCTCAAAAAGAATCAAAATATTTTCAAAACTATATGGTGTATAGGAAATGCTAATATAAAAATTTAGTAAAATTTTCAAGTATCTATTGACTGTAGTCATTCGTTTTTTAATTACAACAAAATTAGAAAATCGTTACACGAGAAATCGAGTGAATATCAAATGTTGTAAAAATATGAATTTCAAACGTTCATAAAAATTTAATTTGAGATTCTTGTAGGCATTTTTTTTTTTTGATAAAGGTAGACAAACTTATGAGGAATCTTGCATTACATTTTCATATCTTAGATTTAAAAAGAAAATTTTTTATGAATTTCTAACTCGAAATAATTTGCAAATTTTCGTCATTTTCACGTATTTTGTCAATATTTGGAATTTAAATGCTTATAACAATTTGACCCCCCCCCCCCCCCAAAGTACCAACTAGATTCACTTTCCTATCAGAAAAGATACTGTTGAAGAAAATCCAAGCACTTTTACTGCCCTAAAAGATGATGACGGACAAAAAAAAAAATGAATTCGTGAATTCGTAAACAGTTGTCAATATTTGTAATGAAAAGAAAAATTCCGAACCAATAAACCACGATAGTTTATAAATGATTGGTGAAATACTGAAATAAACTGAGGGTGCTAGTTTGAAGCTTGCATATAAATGCCCATCTCATACTATGACATAATTTTATATACATAATTTATAACGTTTAATAGTACATTAGTATGATAGTTCTAATTATTATTAGTTGTTTCTTAAACCCGAGTTTTCCATTATGTCATACAATTTGTATGTTTTCTTTTTGACTCTGAGATACAAAAAAAAAAAATTACAAAAATGTACCGCCCCCAAAAAACTTCCGCCCGGGGCAAATGCCCCCTTTGCCCCCCCCCCTTAATGCGCCCCTGGTACCTAGGTTGGATTAGGTTAATATTTAGTATTTTTGAAACAATAAACAAAATTCTAAAAGCCCGGTCTTTTTGACTGTGAAGCATATGCTCTAGGGTTAAACAGCAAACCCACAATGTTGTGTCAGAATTTTATATTTTAAATGCTTAAGAAATGTATTATACAATGTGGTATGAAAAGTTGAACAGTTGTGTCTAAAGCATGCACTGAGTATACTCAAGTCAATAATGGAGTTTTATTAAATCATTTTAAAACTTAGTTTTATTAGTGCTCCTCAGTGTGGTTATACATTGCTTTATCTTGAGTACTCTTTTGAACGGTGATCCTGAAATCTGGTGTATGTTGTTGGGGCCTTGGGGGTGTACACAGATATTTTCAATGGGAAGGATTATATTAAAAATATAATATATAAAAATATTTTTCAAATTGTTTTAATTTTTATATTTCCATACGTGTAGTAATTAAATTACCAATGGGTGGGGGGGGGGGGGGGGTTGACCACCCAAATATCCCCTCAATGTTACTCAAGGCTAAAGGGTAGGTAGTTATTACATGGTATCACAATTACACAGGTATTGTAAAATAAAGACCTTACAGTGTGTCCTACTGTCTTCCTAGTTTGGTTATAAATGTTATAATAATGTCCAATGTATAACCTGCGGAGAAGTTCTAACCGTCAATTACACGGTTACCAAATTGCATATAGTATCATAATGTAATATTAATATTGTAATCATCGTAAGCCAATAACCTTAGTTGTCAAGGCTTTAAAGAAATAAAAAAAAAAATGCAGAACCATTTGTTGTTGCAGTCAATTCAGATAGATTCATAATAGTAGGTAGGTAGGTACCTATAAAACTACACCGGGCTATACTTATGTTACTACCCACTCAAAGTTTCAGCCTAAGGCGTTTGTCCCTAACTTCGAGTCATTTAGACATGGCGTTTGAAATTAAATAAAACATTCATGAAAGCAGAAGGAATTAGTAGCCATCCCCCACCTAGTTAGTCACTCATCTTTGTAAATAATTGTCCACTGATGCATCTTGACCTGGGTTATTTATTCCTTTGACATTTCGTAAAGTTTTGAGTTTCTGGAGTGTGGACCTTTATGTAGACCCGTCAACTTCTGTCCTTTAATTACACACGAAAATGGGGATGTGACGAATTCATGGTCGGAGTTGGGTAGGCACCTACTTAATAAAAGATATACAATATGGGTTAGACCACGCTGGTTGGATATTTGAACATTGCATTATATTGTACTCGTCAATTAAATATTGTTATTTAATTTTAAACGACAATACCTACGTATAAGATATAGAAATTAGCAGGGTTTGAAACCGATATTTGATACCAATTTTGAATACCGGTTAAAATTGTTAAAAACCGAAATCGATACCGAAACCGAAAACAAAACCGAAAAAACCAA